ACCATGCTCATTCTGGTACATCTTCCAGACAATGCAGTACACCTCTACCACCATTGGGAAACAGCTATCCCACACATACCTCTCACCAGATCCCACGACATCACATGGGAGACCCTAGGCCCGAAGGCCAAAACTTGGAACCAAATGACTCCAGAACAACTGACTTCTGCAGGAATAAATAAAAAGACAATTAACTACTACACAACAGGACACTCCAGGTACCACATAGAGGCCTGTGAGGACCCACCCACCATAGACTGCGACCTTATTGATATCCCTCACGACTGTTTTGAACAAATGAAAATGGAAACTACACACCTACCAACTGTTTATGAAGCTGCATTACTCAACCCGGATCAGACACTATTTGTGGATGGCTCAAGGTTTGCTGACGAACAAGGACAATACCACACTGGATATGCAGTTACCACAGGATGTCAAATATTACAAGCAGCTGCCCTACAACCAACTAAATCTGCCCAAGAGGCCGAGTTAATAGCCTTGACTGTGGCCTGCAAACTGTCCGAAGGCCTACGAGTCAACATTTATACGGACTCAAGATATGCCCTGGGAGTGGCACACGATTTTGGCTTAATCTGGAAGACCAGAGGATTCCTTACAGCTACCGGTACCCCAGTAAAGCATGGGGCAGCCATTGCAGAACTGATGGACGCATTGGAACTCCCAGCAGAAGTGGCAGTATTGAAAGTAAAAGCTCATGGAAGATTAGACACAGAAGAAGCACGTGGCAATAACCTGGCTGATCAGGCAGCCAAAGAGGCAGCACGACAAGGATGGGAAGTGGACAGAAGAGTGGCCACAGATGCATTACCAATTTATACTATGCAAACATTGCCTACAGACCTCAGGCTGCTGAAGGAACAGCAAGTTGCTGCCACTCCTCAGGAGAAACAGAGTTGGAAGAACAAAGGAGCAATACTCCGTGATGAAGTTTACACTATTAATCTCAAGTTCTGTCTACCTAGAAGTATGTACCCAGCGGTGGTCCAATGGGCCCATGGGCCAGCCCACCTATCAAAGCTCCTGATGAATTCACTGATTGACAAGTATTTTGAAGCACCAGGCATCACTACCTTAACACAGAATTATTGCAAATCTTGTACTATATGTGCTAAGTGCAACCCTGGAAAGATCATAAAGACTGCACCTAATCATCTAGCCAAGCCACAATACCCCTTTCAGAGGATTCAGATTGACCATATTCAGATGCCAAAGAGCGGACGCCATGAATATGCACTGGTCATAGTGGACATGTTTTCAGGATGGCCAGAGGCCTTCCCAGTGACTAACCTCACCGCGAGGACAACAGCCAAGTATCTCTTGACAGAAATTGTTTGCCGTTACGGGGTTCCAGAAGTAATTGAGAGTGACCAAGGAACCTCCTTCACTGCCTCGCTAACACGGGAAGTCTGGTCAGCACTGGGGGTGACCCTTGCATTCCACACTCCATATCACCCACAGAGTAGTGGTAAGGTAGAGCGCATGAACGGCACTCTGAAAGCCAGAATGCTTAAAATGTCACAAGAAACTAACATGCCTTGGCCCGAGAGTCTCCCATTAGCATTGTTTAGTGTAAGGTACACTCCTAGGGGAAAATACAGCCTGTCACCTTATGAAATTTTGTTTGGCACAGCACCTAGGTTGGGTTGTTACTTTCCCCAACAACTTCAGATCCAGTCAGACGCTATGGTAGATTATGTGACAGCCCTCTCACATGCCTTGACCAAGATACATGCCCAAGTGTTTTCTTCTATTCCAGATCCTGAGTCGAACACAGGTACACACAAGCTGCTTCCAGGTGACTGGGTTATGGTTAAGAAGTTTCTCAGAAAACACACCCTAGAACCGAGATTTGATGGTCCTTACCAAGTGCTCCTGATTACAGCAACGTCAGTTAAACTAGCTGGGAAGAGTTCTTGGATACACGCTTCACATTGCAAAAAAGTGCCTGCTCCAGAAGAGCCTGATCCTGTTGAAAAATGAATTTATCATGTGTCTTGTGTTTTCTTATGCTGCTACATTTTGCATGGGCCCAACAAGTGGCCATAACCAAAGATAACCATGTTTACACTTTTTGGTACAATTCTTCTAATACTGATGTGGCTACATACACCTTTGACTATTGTGACATAGTTACTTGTACATTTCCACAAACACAACATGCAGCTGTATATAAGGACATACCTAACAAAAAGGATCCATACATTTGTGTGACTGGCGGAGGTTGGGGACACCATTGTAGTTCATGGAAAGCTGCCGGGTGGAACACAGGTAGACCATGGGGCTACAGACCTCAAGTTGCATTAGACAAGCTTGACAAAGACGGGAAACCCTTGCTCTCTAGAATGACCCTGAGTAAACCCATAGGGTCAACTCCCATTAAACTCACCTTAAACATAGAACACCCTAGTCCAAGGGATGCAGGGGAGTATGTGATGGGAATGTACTGGAAGGGAGGTGGCTCACATAACGCATTAGGGACCTTTTACTTGCAAGATATGCTAAATTCCTCTGATTGGGTGGGAACCACACATATGGTCATTAACCCATTGAAACCACACATCAAAACCCTACATGACATGGTAGCCATAGCCAACCCCACCTTTGAAGATACCATGGCAGTAGAAACAGGGTTTTCAGATACCAATTTATGGCTAGAATGGATGAGGTACAACGCCAACTCACACAATAAGACTAATTGTTATGTATGCGGAGGTGCCAGACCCCATCTGGGTACAGTACCTCTGAGTTTACCTCCGGAAATAGAATTATGTGTACTGAGTTTGTATGCACAATCCACCACTAACTCCTCAACATGTGAATCCTGGAAGAAGATTTACCCAATCACTCATGGACATGTGAAACCACCCGATGGAGTCACCATCTACCCAGGTAATTACACATGCTATTCAATACCAGAAAACACTGGTTTGTATCTGGGCAAATTCCCATCAGGATACTGCTCAACTTACCATAGTCCACCTGTATCACTGCTAATGAATCACACAAAGACAATCGGTGATATCTATTGGTTATGTGGTGACAAACAATTAAGGCCCCAATTAGCTGGGCAATGGTGGGGGGAGTGTGCCCTAACCAAAGTCATAATGCCTATCCACATCATTCCAGATGGTGACCATAACACGCTAAACCTCACACATATACACTCTAGAACCAAACGAGAGACCCCTATTCGAGGGAGTTTCGACCCCCATGTGTATATTGATGCCATAGGTGTGCCAAGGGGGGTGCCTAACGAATTTAAAGCAAGAGATGAAGTGGCTGCAGGGTTTGAGTCCCTAATCCCAATGATAACTGCTAACAAGAATGTCAATTGGATTAACTATATCTATTATAATCAGCAACGCTTTGTCAACTACACAAGGGATGCCCTACAGGGCCTGGCAGAGCAACTACAAGCCACTACCCAAATGACATTTCAGAACAGAATGGCCCTAGATATGATTCTAGCCGAAAAAGGGGGAGTATGTAAAATCCTCCCTGAGACCATGACATGCTGCACATACATTCCAGACAACACGGGGCCCAATGGTAAAGTGACTATGGCCATAGAAAAGCTAGATAGTCTTGCAGACGAATTAAAGAAGAATTCGGGAGTCACTGACATATGGGACAAATGGTTTGGGTGGATGAATGGCTGGCAAAAGACCCTCTTTCAGGTAGGGACAGCTGTTCTCATGGTATTCATTATCTTTTTGTTCTCAGCCTGTTGTATACTCCCCTGTATACAGAAATATCTGCAGAAAGCGGTAGATAAGACTGTAGATAATGTGACCCCTACCTTCATACATCAGGATATCACAGACCTTGAAGATGACACCCCACATACACCCCTACAAACACATCAGTTTAAACAGACAACTGCTTTTTTGTAGGGATAGAGTAGGGAAAGCGTCTGTCTTGACAGGTGAGTCTCACGTGTGGAGATGTAGTGGGTTAGCCACTGCGGGATACCCGCGGAGTGAAGTGTTCGATGCTTGTCAAGGCAGATAGGTTGCGGGCAACTAGGGACATATTAGGGACAGCAGCAGTTGTAATGGTAAATAGCCATTTTAGGGGGGACTGTTGTGGAAATAAGGTCTACACATATTTCCTAGTTAAAGGAAAATGTCTATTTACTCATTTTACAATATATATATATATATCTCACATATAAAGCTAAGTACACATATTTCAATCAAGATGGCTGCTAGAAGCTTCTAACCCCTCCTTCCCCTCCCCTCCCTTTTTAAACATCGACTAACTACCTCGTGTAACAAGATGGCGCCGGAAAACCGTGGGAGACCCTCATGGTCCCGGTGACATCACCTGCAGTAGGCAGAGCATTAGAGCAACCACTTAACACCTAACCAATTATTGATGTATTATTCCATGTTATCTCTGACAATGCATATGATGTAATTTTGCTTTAAAAGGGACTTGCCGTCCCCTCTGAATAAACTTTCCTCAAGTTATTCAACAACCTAGAACCTGTGTCTGGTGTGAATTACTTCAGGGAGCGTGCACGCATTGTTTCATTGATTTGGCCAGGGGCAGATACACAAAGAAATAATCAATACTTTAATTGATTTTTCCACTTCAGTCCCCATGATTTTTTGGAAGTATGCAATACAATACAATGACCAATTGGCTGTTAGCTGTAAACAAAAATTCGCTTTAATTTGAGTAAATAAAAGAAAATTACATAAAAATAGTCAATGTAATGTGATGTGAATGACTGTTACTAAACTGTGAACTCATTACAGTACTTTTTTTGGTGTGTGTGTTTATTTTGTTAGCATGCTGTGAAGGCTGAGGATGTTGTCCCATGGACCATACATCCTGTTACTGACAGAGAGAGAGGGAGGGAGTGAGGGAGGGGCGGGGCTGGGCTATACAGCTCGCTCTCTCTACTCACTGACAAGCCTGCCAGGGCAACGCCGCGCGCTGATGTCGTTTATTTTTTTTTAAAAAGAAACGGCGGACAGCCAATCAGCGGCCTCCTTGCTTCCCCGGCCGTCCAATGGCCGCGCGCCTTGTTAGTCGGCCTACCCGCTTCATTCGTCGAGCGTAGCGCGACCGTTACGGTAACTGTTTCCGTTCTCCCTCCTGCGAAGAGTGAAGCCCTTCTCGCCCGGACCGTGTTGTAAATTTTGTCTGGAGGACTACGACGCCAGAAGCCGAGCCCCCACACCCCCTCCGTGTGCTGTGTTGGTTTATGCGCACACACCATGCCGGAGTTCCTGGAGGATCCGTCCGTCCTGACTAAAGAGAAGCTGAAGACGGAGCTGCTGGCGAACAATGTGAGTTTGCCGAGCGGCGACCAGCGCAAGGATGTCTACGTGCAGCTCTACCTCAAGCACCTGACGGCGAAGAATCGCAGCACCCCGGAGTTCTCCAGCGACGACGAGCGGGAATCTACCCCTCTGAGGGGCCGCGGCCGCCCCCCGGGCAGGGTGAGTAAACTCTCTCTCCAATATCGCTCCTTCACAGCTATTCACTAAACTCCGAACTCAAATCCCAACGGCAACATTCCGGCCACAATAACTTTTTATATGAGAAAGAGAGGGGAAAAAAAAATCTTACCACGAGGGTTACATATCATTGCAAATAGTTTATTTTTATTATAAATGTGGTTGCCGGTAGCGTTCCCTCTGAGAGCGGTCCCCGAGCTCGCTGTGCGGTGTTGTTCTCGGTTCTGGCCCGCGGGCGGTGTGGTGGACAAGTCTACACTTGTCTCCCTGTGCTTTATTTACACCGAGAGCCGAATGAATGGGACCTGCCGGAGAGAGGGGGGGTTAACCCGCTCACTGCCGGTACCAGCTGCAAACACCGCTCCTTCCAGACATGTAGAGTCTAATGCAACTCGGGAAAACAAGGTTTTAAAAACACGGGGTTATTGTAAGAGGGAGCGCGGAGGCTGTTTGCTGCCCGGACACTAATCGTTTTAAGATGATTAAAGAGCTCAGTCAGCACACACCCACTGCATTCAATGGGATGAAAGTGAATTCCCGGAGTCAGGTTACTATTAATGCGGATCGGGAGCGATGATAATCACGTGGTTTAGGTCGGGTGGTCCCGGCTCTGTACACACTTTACTCTCATTGTTGTTTTCGCGCTCAGTCTAGCGCCCCATAGTGGATCTCAGGGTCATTCTGCGTTCCCGCTTTTTTTTCCCCTCTTCTTTTTTTATTTTAATGTCTTTCTTGGATTAAACCTCTAGATACATATAGAATAGAGCTAGGCCACCTACAGCACTACAGATGTGATAATGATCTTACAGCTATGATATTGGCAAAGTACCCAGAAAGATGTAGTCGATAACATCTGGAGTCCGTAGGTTGCCTACACCTGCTAGAAAAGAAAATATATATATATATATATATATATCTATCTCTATCTTTTCTAGCAGGTGTAGGCAACCTACGGACTCCAGATGTTATCGACTACATCTTTCTGGGTACTTTGCCAATATCATAGCTGTAAGATCATTATCACATCTGTAGTGCTGTAGGTGGCCTAGCTCTATTCTATATAGATTCCATTTATCCTTTACAGATGAGATAGATAGATATATATATATATATATATATATATATATATATATATATATATATATATATATATATATATATATATTCAAAATATAAACAAAGAACAAGTTAGACCTGCAGATACGCCACACTGAAGTCCCAACAGTGTATATACAACCAAAAAACAAACGAGTTCTGCACATCCAGTATAGGTGTGCACACCCAGGTGCTACCGCAATTTATTGGAGGACAAAGTTAAAACCACAAACGTTTCGAGCAGTTGCCCTTTCTCAATGCTAATATTTTGCTAGAAAAGCTAGTGTGCCAGAGTCAGTTTTGTAAGGTCTAGTCGGGTTATTTGAGAAATGCCATCATTGAGAACTCATCAATGAAAATTTGAACATTTCAAATTTAGCATTATGAAACCTGGAATGGCAAAAATTTTGTATTATCCATATTGTTTAGTGTTTTAAAGTAGGGTTCTCATCAACCTATTTCTGTAACACTTTGTAATTCTCATTTAGTAAGTTTTATACTATTGTAATGCTCTGCGGAATATGTTGGTGCTAATATAAATAATAAAAAGGTCTACAAAACAAAAATGGGGGAGGAAAAGTACCAAATAAGTCTCCTGTATAGGGGTTAACCCCTGGTGAAAACAACTTCACCAAGAACGTACAAAAAAGCTAAATGGGGGCATGGAGACAAAATAGGATTCTGTCCTATAAAATATCCTGAAGAGTGGGTTCCCCTGCTGGTTTCGGAGAAGGGGTAATTTACCGAAAAAAGGAAGGGGGAGGCGTATAACCCAGTGCCACCTCTGTCGATAATAAAACGTAACTTTTATTGAGAATAAATATAAATGAGGTGGGAAAAAAACCTAAAAAACATTGAAAATAAAATAAAGTATTTATTTAAGGATTCCCGGTTGGGAAACTATTGCAATGTACTAGATACCATGCCCAGACCTCCCTCTTTACTATTGATCTAGCAGATACAGTGTTAACATGTGGTCGGGGTTGTCCCTGTACACACAATTAGCTATATTGTCTTTCACAGTCTCTTATCATTGCGACTCTCACCATTTAGACAATAACTCCCTTTTGTACGGGGTTAACATTGTGAGTCTACAAACAGACTATCTATCTTCTGTACGCATGTTATACTGTAACAAGCGTCTCCAATAGTACATGTCCCGGCACAGTTTGCTTTTCTGGCCAGCTAGTAGATGCCAAAAATGGGTTATGCTCTGCAACCCATTTGAGTATATGCGATTTTATATATAAATTGCAGTTAGGGGATACTCTGCTCTAAAACTTAGGACTGTGACTATGGTCAACTATGCACAGTCAAGACCAGGGGTCCTCAAACTGTGGCCCTCCAGATGTTGCTGAACTACAACTCCCATGATTCTTTGAATTACATAGATATTCAGAGAATCATGGGAATTGTGGTTCAGCAACATCTGGGGGGCTGGAGTTTGAGGACCCCTGGTCTAGACAGTTAACTATCTATTACAACTGTACTTGTCTCTTCACACCTTTTCAACCACAGTACGATATCAGACGCTGGAAATGGTTTCTGCTTTGTGACCCATCTGCATATTTGAATATATTATTTATTTTACAGCAAGGCGAGAGTCTGCTTTATAAAGCGATAAGTACAGTCTACTGTGAGTAAATTGCACAGCCTTGATAGTCTACCATTTGTAACAATCGCATTTGGTAACAGTCCCTTGTCTTAGTTTGATACAATTCTGACTTATTGTGACTGCCCCTTTGTATCATAGTGGACTTCTGCATTTACTATCTATTAGACTACCTAGTCTCATACCGACTTGGTGGGCGGTGTTTTCCACCCACGCATTATACTTTATTTTAGTTTATTTTTCGTGTTTCTTAAATTTTTTCACCTCATTTATATTTCTCTCAATAAAGGTTGTTTTATCATCGATGGAGGTTTCACTGGGTTATACACTTCCTCCTTCCCCTCGCTTTTTCCGGTATATTCCCCCTTCTCCGAAACCAGCAGGGGAACCTGCTCTTCGGGATATTTTATCAGAATCCTATTTTTGTCTCCTGCTCCCCCTTTAGTTTTTTTAGTTTTTTTTTTTTTACTGTTTCAGTGATGCTGTTGAATAAATTTAAGGCACTGTATTTCATTCAGTTCTGTGTGCATCAATATATACATGACATGTTCCTTTAGGCGACCATGAATTGAACCTGTTGTGCTAGCAGAATTGGTATAAAGTGTTGATCTAGCATAAATAATGTAATACTTAACATTATACTTTTCTAATTCTGTCATATGAGACTCGCACTGTGGCAATTTAAAGATTTAATATTATGAAAAAAAACTGTTTTGTGAAATATATATATATAAAGCATAATTTCCAGATTTTTTTTAATATATATATATATATATAAAAAAAAGCATAATGTCCAGATTTTTATTTATATATATATATATATATATATATATATATATATATATATATATATATATATATATATATATATATATATATATATAAATAAAATCTGGACATTATGCTTTTTTATGTGTGTGTGTATAATCAATATCCTTCTACGTGTATTTTGATATTAATATATATAATTATATATATTATTAAAATACACTTGGGGGGGTGGGGGTGTGTGTGTGTGTGTGTGTGTGTATATATATATATATATATATATATATATATATGTGTGTGTATTTTATTTGTAACTGTCATTTATTTATTTTTTTAACTGATATTTTATTTTTATTACAGGAGAGGGGGCAGAGACAGTATCAGCCAGTGATTTCACATCACTGGCTGACACACAGGATCAGTGATCACAGTGACTGGCTGTCACTATGATCACCTCCTGCAGATTGGGTAATTGACCATAGAAGGGAGTGCCTGGGTGGTACAAGCACTCCCCCTACCAATCTGCAGGGGTTCATTGCGCCTGTTATATGTATCAGCCATTAGGCTGACACATGTAACACTGATCGCAGTGACAGGCTGTCACTGCGATCAGAGCGCTCTGAGATCGCAGTGACCGTGCAGATCGCGGTCACTGACCTCAGGGTGACTGTAAAATAGGCTAAAATTTGAAATCGGCTGACATTGTAAATACTGATCGCAGTGACAGCCTGTCACTGCGATCAGAGACTGCAGATCGCGGTCACCGGCCCTGTCACCTGTTAACCCCCGATTAGCGCCGGCCACGTGGGCGGCCATTATAGCGAGGGCGTACTATTACGCCAGCCGGCGTTTAGAGCCAGCTCCTGCAGGGCGTAATAGTACGCCCTCCAGATTTAAGGGGTTAACCCTGCAATTGAAAACACTGTCCTTTAGTAAATACTGCAAGGTTTACCTTCCTCTGGTAAGTCTTCCATATAGTCACTAGAGACGCTTCCACCCCAATAGCAGAGTTATAGGAACAATATAGTGTCTGGAATGCATACCTGTATTCCTGACACTATAGTTCTAAATACCAGTTTAGGTCTCCGGTTAAAATGTGCGTTGACTCGCCTTTTTTGCTGGTCCAGTTGTGGCTGGCCCCTCCCCATGATTATCTCAGTCAATTAATGCTTTCCCATCAGAAAGAATTGGGAGAGTATCGTGCATGCGCGGCAAATCGTCATCTTCTCATAGCGTTACGTTGACTCGTTACGTTTGTATGGGAAGCTTTCAGAGGCGCCATGCAGAACATGTCACTAGGCAGTAATGTAAACACTCCCTGTTCTCTGAAAGGGCAGTCTTTACATTAAAAAACCTGTAGGCACAGGCTATAGACACTTTAACAACTGCATTAAGATGCAGTTGTTGTGGTGATTAAAGTGTCTCTTTAAACTTGGCTATTCAATCACATGATCTCAGAGCCCATTTGATTTACATGGTGATGTTTTGCCGCAGATGCGCCAGAGACTGGCATTTCATAGGTTTATCGCAAAGTAAATCTCACATTTTAATCCATCACATAGCATGGGGACATACACTAAAATAGGTAGTTTTGAATGATGGCATTAAAGGGACACTATAGTCACCTGAACTACAGTTTTTACATTGATAGGAATACCTCCAGTGGCCGTCACTCAGACTGCCACCAGAGGGACTTCCTATCATGTAGAGCCCTTGTACACGTCCGACGTATTATACTGTCAGCAGAGGAGAGGGGGCGGGCAAAGACCGCGAGCTGAGCTGTCAGTATAATACGACTAAATCATTGCATCTCTATGAGGAAAATTCAGCGTCCCCGTGCAGAGCGTGGAGACTCTGAACGGCAGTGCAGCACTGAGCAAGGAAGCACTTCCAGTGGCCACTTGGAGGTGTCCCTAGGGGCAATGTAAACACTGCATTATCTCTGAAAAGGCAGTGTTTGCGTGAAAACGCCTGCAATGAATGATTATACTCACCAGAAGAACTACACCAGTTTCCCAATTGGTGTGAACAATAAAATGGCTGCAGGCGGCGAGGGAGCAGTGGGCCATTATCTCCCTGCTCAGCTCCTGCACGCGCACAGCAGTGATGCGTGAGCCAGAATATGACGTCCCTCCGGCATCAGTAAGAGGCACACGAGGGAGCTAATCAGGGAGATCACTGCTTCCTCGCAGCCTGCACGCCAGCTGCTCAGCAGCCCCACTGGACCAATGGGATATAGAGACTCCATGCCAGCACTGCCAAAGGTAGGGGGGCTGGGTCGAGTTAAATAAAAAAAAAAAATAATAATAATAATTGTATGTGTGTCTGTTTGGGAGTGTGTTTGTCAAAGAGTATGTGTTCCTGAGTGTGTATCTGTGTGTCAAGATTTGTGTTTGTATGTGCCTATGTGAGTGTGTATCTGAGTGTCTCAGTGTGTGTATATGACACTGTATGTATTTGTGAGTCAAGGTCTCTGTGTCAGATACACACACTTTGATACAGAATATATATTTATATTTATATACACACACACCGATACTCACTGTGTGTCAAGGTGTTCCTTGTTACAGACAAATACAGATCCACACGGTGTCAAGTTGTGTGTATCTGTGTGTCGGATGCAAACACCGGCACATACAAAAAAAGGCGCACTTTGTTGATACAATATGTTAAAGGGTTCCACGGTAAAAATAAATTGGGAACCCCTGAACGACATTAAGCTGTAGTTGTTCTGATGACTATAGTGTCCCTTTAACCCCTTAAGGACACATGACATGTGTGACATGTCATGATTCCCTTTTATTCCAGACGTTTGGTCCTTAAGGGGTTAAATCATGAACTCAAAAAATACAAACAAAATTCATTGATTTTTTTTTTTTTTTTTTCTCATTCCTCACCTCTCAGTATGATACTTGAATTTGAACCACTAAGGCACCCAGAATTTTATGTAAATGTGTTAGTATGACTTGCTAATGAACAGACTTTTTAAAACGTTGCTTTAAAAAATTTTATATATATTTATTAGTTTTTTGCACTACACTGTAACTGTATTTTGTTTAAAGTCCTCTTCATGGTGGTCTTACCATTTATTTCTTCTTCTCTGAATTTAAAAAAAAATGTATATCTCACTATTATTTTCAATATTATTTACACCATTACATCAGATCACTTGTACAAGTGAATATAAGTCTGCAAGTTTAATAAGGTAGCAGGCACAAGTTGCTTTTATCTGGACATGTGTTTTTGTTTGAGTGCCTTAGTATATTACTCGCATATTTCAGGTGCATTTTTTTTTTTTTTTTTCCTTGTGCTTTAAATGAATTCTTGACCAATGAATGGATTTACTCAATACTTTTTCTTGATCCTACAATCTCTTCTGAAACTTTCATATCCTGTTTTACAGTTTGGTATGTTCAAACAAACTGTTTAAAACTTTTTATTCTTTGAATGCACATTTTGGACACATGGCACTAAATAGTCTGGGAGACTGTTTTGATGGCAGTATGATGTATTTCATGTTTAAAAACAATACAATTTCATTGACAAAGCAAAAGACGTTTGTCTACAAAAACTAGATGTTAAAGATGAGCACTCTAAGCAACAAAATTGCCCTGCAGTGTTGGCTATGGTGTCAGAAATCTCTTCGCACAGTCTCACAGCAAGGAATCAAAACATTGTCAAATGGTTTGACACTTACCTGGGTCCTCCAGTTTTCTGCAGTCATAGCATTATTCTGCATTAATGTTCCCTTACCTGGGCTGAATTCACCAACTATAATTTTGTTTTCCTGGCACTATAGTTTCCCTTTAACGCGCAATAATTATTTAAATCCGGGCTTGACAAATCCCAGATAGACTAGAAATTTTTACCTGGCGCCTGGGATTTGTCAGCTTTTTACCTAAAGAGGCCGGCTGGGCAAACAATGGAACAGGCCGGCTCAGGGTTCGTGGAGGAACCACCCTGGGCTGCATGGAGGCGGCAGGCTGGGGCAAAGATCTTCCTGCAGATCCTGCTCCCTCGCATAGGAAAGCATTGGGAGGATTTTGCGCATGCTCTCCATGGGTAACATTCAGTGCCTCCATACTGAGCACGGATTAGTGGTTGTCTGAGTGACTGTCACTAGAGGTCGTAATAGACAGCAATGTAAACACTACATTAATCTGTAGTGGATCTGGTGATTATAGTGTCCCTTAAAAAAAACAAAAAACTGGATCCTAGATTCCAAACTAATTTGTCAAGCTCTGATTTAAATAATTGAAATCCAAAACACAATAACACCTTATCCATTAGTTTGATACTCTGGTAACTCCAAAGTCTCTGCCAAGTGAAAGGTCACCTGACCACCTATGTCATGAGTGTGCTGGTCCTAGCTCTCAAAAAGTAGAGCGAACAAAAAAAAATATAAGGGAATGCGATAAGTGTGTTTTAAAAAAAAAAAAAAAAAAAATCCTCTTGGCCATAGAAATTGTGGTACAGTGAAGGTGTAAAACAATTCCATCCATACGGGGATGAAATTATTTTATGTGGGAATATAAACTTTGGTGTTTTATAGAGGGGTTGGAACGAATGCTCCCAGAAACCAAAGTAGTTGGAAAAAGAATGTCTGTTACAAAATAAATTTTTTTTATTAATATGTATTTATTTTCAAAATTCTTTTCATAACTGCTTAAAATCCTACCTCTTCTTAGTTCTTACAATAGGAACCGAACTTTCTTTGAACTGATCTTCCCGTTTTCTACACTTCCATCCTTCAAAATGTAAATCACTAGTCAGTAAAAAGCTATTCAAGTCAAGATTTTACTGAAAAATCATTCCTGCTATAATCTTTAAATGTTTCTTCAGTGGTATAAATTTCAGAGAAGTGACCGTTAAACTTTAAATTAAAATAAATTTTTTATCAAGTACACATCTATTTTTATTTTTTAATATAAATCAATGTTTTTAACTAATTTTCCCTGTACTTTTTTTTTTTTTTTTTTTCTAGAAAGCAACAAAGAAGACAGACAAGCCCAGAGCAGAAGAGAAAGATAATTTGGATGTAACAGAGCTTAGCAATGAAGCATTAAAAAATGAACTTGTTAAATATGGAGTGGCACCTGGCCCAATTATAGGTATGATTAAAAATGTACACACTGTAAATCTGTTTGTTTGATTTATGTATGAAAGGGCAATATTTCATACATGTGTATAAAACCTAAACTATTTTAACTTTTTCCACATAGAGTGGGGGGAAAGCAATTAAGGTATGACTAAGGATTTCAAGTCCAATATTACAAGCTAGGCTAAAAATGTAACCACCAGTGCAATGGCTTGGAATTAGCTAGGTATCAGCAATCCTAGCCTTCCTGTCTCCAAATGATATGCACAGCTTCCACCAGTTTCTAGAATGTTTTCCGATGAACTTCTCATTTGTTGTCTTTACTATTATGCTAGTGGCATTGGCCCAGTGAACCATACAATATAAACTGGAAATAAATGTGGTGTTTTTTTTTGTTTTTTTTTGGTTTTTTTTTTTTAAATTCACGCCTGTACTAGCAGGGTTAATGTTTATATGTTGATAGTGTCACAGCGACTGCCTGGTGGGCAGTAGTAGAGAAAGCAGGAGGGGCAGGTCTGTAATTAAGTGTAAAATTGTTGACACAAACTGACCCCTTCCTTACCAGACAATTGTTCATGGGGGTCCTTGGCGTTGTAACTACTTTATCAGGCTTAGTAAATTGGTGCTTTAAATGCCCTTTTAAAGTGAACCTGTCATGACCGGTTCACTTTAGAAGACCGTCTCCGTATAGAAAATATAATTTTTTCTTGAAGATGTTGTACTGTTAATATACAGCTATCTCAGGAAAATAATGATTTGACTAGGGTTGAAATTGATGATTTAGGTCTATATCTCAATAATTTGTAAAATACAAGTAAATGTTAGTGGCTTTTTTATATATTTCTACCGTTTTTCTTTTGTCTGTGCAGGAAGTACAAGGAAAGTTTATGAACAAAGGCTTCTTAAACTTAAAGAGCAAGCAAGTATTGCAGCCCCCTCCCCTTTGGTAGCAGATATGTCATCAGCAGGCGATAACAAGCAAAATGGAAACACTGATTCTGAGCATTACAGTGACAATGAAGATGGTATGATGTTTAAAAAAAAGAAAATACATATTTTTAAGGCAAATTCTGGTTATGGAAGTTTGGATATAAACTGTGGCTTTCCCAAAACCAGCCTGTCCCTTCTACTGTCACCCAGGTGATGTGGAATTTCACTTCATTCTCATCTATTCAAATTTGAGTGGCAGTGTGGTGGGGAGTAGCTAAGCCTAAACCTAGCAACCTATTATTGGTGTCCTAATTTATTCAGATAATGGGGAAGGAATATTCTTTGTAAGTAGCACTGCAGAGTCAGAAATGACAGATTTTTCCAGAGCCAATGCCGATAACCGGTGCCAATATTTTGTACATTTAAATTTTTGAAAAAGCAACACAACTTCTACACTAATCTTGTATTAAAGTTTAACTATGTGCACCAAAACCACTTAATCTAAATTAAATTATGGTACCAGGCGCATTCTTACCTCAAGGGGTTAAACCATTGTTTAATGCAAAGTCTTCTGTTTAAGGTTTCAGAAAGTTATATACGACGCGGGAGGTCCTCACGCTATGCATGAGGACCTCCAGCGTCTCCAAAATCCCCATAGGAAAGCATTAATAAAAAATACCGTGAGGGGGGAGCGTGGACGGAGCCTGACCCAGCACCGAGGGAAATCAGCGCTGGATTCAGGTAAATCACTTAATTGGGTTTTAACCCCTTCAGCAACATTGGATAGGAAGTGGGAGAGAGAAGGGCACTGCAGGGTCCTGCAGTGCCAGGAAAACGGATTTGTTTTTCTGGCACTGGAGAGTTCCTTCAGCACTTGGGACTCACTACAGCTACTTAATTTAATGTCACTGGTGCGTGCAGTGGAAGACTTTTGAAATACATTTTTTTTTTTTTTTTCCAGTAAATAAGAAGCCATAAGTTCCCTCCCTGTCATCCCTCATCCAGACCATTCTTATTTTCTCTTTCTTCTGCTTCCTCTTAACTGTAAATTGTTTATTTTCCCAAACAGTGCATTAAGGTTTGCATGTCATATAAAGTCTTGTAATAAACTTTTTTTTTTTTTTTTATTTGTTTTCAGAACCTAAGATAGACATGACATTTGAAAAAAGAGAACCTTTGAGGAGCAAACAAAAAGCTCAGGTGACAGTTCGCAGTAGAAGAACAGAGATGACTGAGGTATGTGAGCAGCATTTTTTGTTCATTATATTTAGCATTAAAAGCTGTGACATAAATTTAAAATGTAGACATAAATTTAAAAAGTATTGATATGGCACCTGTAAAATAAACGAAGGTGGCAATGGTGACCATGTAACAAACATGATTTATCTTAAATTAACACTGTAGCATTAGGAATACATATTTTTATTCCTAACGCTATAGTTTTCCTGTCCTTACTTGTATTCAGGCCACCTCTCCCACTGTGTCTCCACCTAACACCATGTCATTCCTCCTCTTGTGTGGTCCAATCCAGTGTTTCTCATAGTAGAGCATTGTGTACCTAATGTACATGTGCAGTGAGTGCCATTTGCGTTCAAATATATGCGTTTTACTTGGTCAGTGCTGCAGAAGTTTTAATGGCTGTCGTACTGACCGCTACTAAAGGTGGAGTTAACCATGCAATATAAACATTGCATTTCCATAAAATATACAATGTTTACAGGGTTGAAAGGACAGGGACATTGCACCCAGGCCACTTTAATGAGATTTAAGTGGTCTTGTCGACTATAATGTTCTTTTAAGACACATTTTCAATTTTGTTTTAAATTGTACACTTTTTATTTTTTTTTATTTTATTTTTTTATTTACATACGTAATTGGTCAATTGTAACATTTACAATTTAAAGGGACACTATAGTCACCAGAACAACTACAGATTATTGAATTTGTTGTGGTGAGTAGAATCATTACCTTCAGACTTTTTGCTGTAAACACTGTCTTTTCAGAGAAAATGCAGTGTTTACATTACAGCCTAGTGATCACTTCACTGGCCACTTCTCAGATGGCTGTTAGAGATCCTTCCTGTGTCATGGCTGCCTAAAATGCATCCAAACATTCAGTCTGTCTTCCCTCTGCATGCAGACACTGAACTTTCGTCGTAGAGATTCATGGATTCAATTAATCTCTATGAGGAGATGCTGTGTTTGAATCATGCTGGCTCTGCCCCTGGTCTGCCTCCTTGTCAATCTCAGACAATCCTATGGGGAAGCATTGAGAGTGGATCAGGTTACCACTTCTGATGTCAGACTGCTTGTTTTTTTGAGTCTAACAGCATGCAGAGTTACAGCTTCAGGCTTGAATACAGTAAGATTTTTACTATATTTATGGAGGCATGAGGGGCTCAGGAGGGCTAGATGGTAGTTTTAACACTATAGGGTCAGGAATACATGTTTGTGTTCCTGACCCTATAGTGATCCTTTAACTTGTGAATTCTGTGTGTTTTATTGTCCTTGTAACCTTCTTAGTAGAAAAAAAAAATTGTAATTGAACATGGTATATTGAAGAGTTGTGAACTGAGCATATGTGTATACCTCTAGTTTATGTAAGTCAGTGTGAAGTTTTGTTTACATTCTGAACATCACTTAAGTTAATGATGCCTTGTGGCATTTTTATACATGTTTGTTTATATTTAGCGTACTCCACTTTTGCTTTTTACATATAGACAATTGAAGACACAGATGGCATACCAGAGCTAAATGTCAAAAGAAGTAATAGGTCTCCCCCTGTGGAGTTTACCGCTGAAGTTGAAGAATTATTCACCAATGATCTTGTAAAGCAATTGCTTAATATCTCACTTTGAAGTTTTATTTGGTCATGCCATAACATGGTCTTTGTAAGGGAAGTCTGCTTTTTATTCCACTTTTAAGTTTCTTTGGGTTTTTTTTGGTATCACTTTATTTAAATAAAAATTGAACACTGTGTGTTTATTTTGGTGTTCTCAGACTTTCTGCTTTGCATGTGCAAGACCTGGCGTGGGTAACTGTTGTAGATGGGAAATTGCTTTCATAACATATATTTAATACTTAATTAGAGCACTTCTGAAGATGTGGTTAATGAACCTGCGTGGACACCTGGACCTTTGAAAAGTGGACGTGTTCAAGCTCTTTCTAAAGAAATAACAAGAGTGTCACGAAGAACACCAAGGAAAAGGGTGATGGCACAATTATTATTTTTCATCACTCATTTTATGAATGGGGCACATTTTTCTGGTTGGGTCCTGGTTTTTCTCTTACTTTTATTTTTTTTACCTAATAGGATGTAACTGCAGATTCATTGCCGTTTGATGCAGATATCACAGAGACTACTTCAAAAACTGAAACTATTACGACTGCAAGCAACCAAATTCCAGTAAATACTTCTAACATTTTTTCCTATTTGCTTAAGTTAAATTAAGTCACATCACACAATTCTTTATTTTTTTTTAATATCTTTAATGACTAATTACTTTTATATTGTCATGCATCAGGAAAAACACTTTTTAGAGGCAGAGCCCCACAGGAGAAGTTGTTTGAGCATTGGTGTTCCACTAAACTGTCACTTTTGTAATAAACTAAATGGTCCGGGATGTCTGGAATGGTGAGGGCTACTAAAATGCAAGTTAGAGCCTTGCATTGGACAGCTGTCTTGGATTGAATGGATGGTACTCCAAACATTAGTCTTGGCAACGCTTTTTGGTGCAGATCTTTGTTTTTAGATCAAAGCATTTGAACGCCCTTTCTCTGTACTGGGGGATAGTCAGATCTGTTCTGACAATTAGAGACTATATTTGAAACCCGGGTTTAAATAATCTTTAGAGGCAGTATGTGCATAACTCTACATATCTTAAACAGTGCATACATGTTAAGTTCTACACATCTTCTATAATTTACTTAGTTTTAAACCTTTCAGCAATACACAAAAAAAATAAACTAGTGATTAACCAAAAATAATATAAGCGATTACCAATAATATAAGACCTTATTTGTGGGGGAAGTATTGTGAGGTGGCTATGGGTTTCACTTATTTACTTAGTTTTGAATTATTGTATTTGAATAGCTAAGAATGTATAAGACTTTACAGATTTTTTTTTTTCTGTCATATGGTGGCAGTACTACTGGGTTTTGCTCCTCCCTGTGGACAAGACATCTAACAAGTAATTAATGATCTAAAAGACCCTCCCCCTTGCCCTATAAAATGCCGAACCGCAAAACCTACCCCAGTTTCCTTTCTTGTCCCGAGAGGGAAGGACAGGGTGAGACACATGGGCTGTCTGTTTGGGGGACCTGGTCTGAGAGCTGCCAGGGTGGTATGCTGAGAGACCATGCTCCTAAAACGGTATTGCGGAGCAAGTGGAGGTTATTTCTCTTTATGCCGAGAATGGTTCCGGCAATGCTTCCAGGAGGCGGAGCTTGTCCGGAGTAGGCGCACCGTGGTGGAACTCACGCCCGGGTGGTGATGCGTTCCACCTAAGCTTCCGGGTGCGCTAAAATGCATGCACGAACCGGAATCTTAAAGGTACAGACCAAAAAAAGAAAGAAAAAGAAAATTTGAATTCTGGTGTATTAATTGAGCTATGCAGGTCAGAAGAGGTACTCCGTGTCACCTGCCCCCACATGGCTCAGAGGTATTTTGAGGTAAGATTAAAGAAATCTTTTCTTTAGAATATGCTCTGGAAAATTTATAGGAAATATTAAACAATCTAAAGCCTCCGTTTATATTTTTTCCACAGATATGTCTAGCCCAGCTTATCAATGGATAAAAGAGCCAAAACCTCTTGTAGGCGAGGTTATCAGACGGCCGGCTTTCAATGCAGGGCTTTACTGGCAGGAGCAGCGGTTGCCAGAGCAAATAGCATTTGGTTAAACACGGTATAAGATATTTTATATTCTGACCAAGATAAAGAGCTTAGCCACATGTTTCAGAACATGCGTTTGTCTAACGAATATCTGTTGGATATGTTGGTAGAGGTTCTTAAGTTGGCATCCAGAATTATGGGATTGTCTTCGGTAGCAAGACGAGCCTTATGGTTAAGGTCATGGACGGCGGATTCTGCTTCCAAATCGGTCCTTGGTGAGCTTCCATTAGAAAAAACAAAATTATTTGGGGCTCCTTTAGAAGAAATTATTAAGCAAATGTCAGAAACCAAAAAGGTGCTTCCTCAAGATAAGTTCTCCTGGAGATCAGGTTACAGGAATTTCCAGTATAAATACAGGAGATCATATCAAGAGAGACTGTATTTCTTTCAAAGAAGGGAATACAAATCGGAGATTTGAACAAAGAGGTGATGTTAAAAGAAAAAAAACACAAGAAATCCTTGGGTTCTACGTCTTATCCAGCAGGGACACAAGATCATATTTACAGAGAAAACAAGAGCAAAGCTTCTGCTATCAACTTGCCAGTCTTCAAAAAGATCACAAGCCCTATTTTCTCAGACCATGCTTCTTTTGCAAAAAAGGGTGATAGAGTACCAGTAAAACAAAGATTTTGTGGAGTTTATTCAAGATTATTCCTGGTTTCAAACCCAGACCACTCTTTTCTTCCCATTCTGGATTTAAAGAACATCAGCTGGTTTATCCCTTATCAAAGACTTTGCAAGGAATCAATTGCTTCTATTTGTCCTCTGTTACAAAGAGGCGACTTTATGGTAAAAACAGACTTGAAGGATGCTTATCTGCATGTTCCGATTGCTGCATGTTCCGAATGCTACCTCTTCAAGAAAATTTCTAAAATTTGCGATAAAAAGAGGAAGATCCACCATTCATTTTCAGTTCAGGGCTCTGCCGTTTGGTCTGTCATCCGCCCCAAGGATATTTACAAAGATCTTGACTCCTCTGACAGCTCATTTGAAGGAATTGGGAATATCCATTATCCCTTATTTGGACGACTGGCTTTTCATGGCACATACAGAAGAACAGCTGCTCATGGACCTGCAGGTCACGATCAGATTTCTTCAAAACCACAGCTAGATCTTAAACCTAAAGAAGTCAGTTCTCATTCCAACAAGAGAAATAGTTTCTCGGTTTCAGAATCAATTCAGTCTCCATGTCTATTCATCTTCGTAAAAACGAAAAAGGAGGAGAATCTAAGAGGCGATTTCCAATCTCCAAAGGATGGATTGTTCCTTCAGACAGGCCATAGGTGTATTGGGCCTTCTAACTGCCGCTTTTCCAGCAGTCAAATGGGCAAGATCAGAGGTCAGACCTCTACAATGGAACATCCTGACTACCTGGTCAAAAAAGGAAGAAGATTTAGACAAAAATTTCTTGTTCAGGGGAACAACATATTCAAAAATGGCACAAATCAGACAAGGGGTTCAAAAGTTAGTAAAAAGTCCTTTGTGACTAAATGAAGCATGGCTTTCTGGCCCAAACCAGTTTCAGAGTCTTCTATCCTGGAGATAAGTAATTCAATTATCTCCCAGGACAGACACAAGACTCCATTAAGCACATGGTTGCAAAAAGACACAAAACACTTTAAAATACATAGTCACCTTTTACACATAACACACAGACATTTCACATATCCCCAGATAGCTGGGATCTGAGCGCACAAAACTACCAAATAGCGCTCAGATCCTATTCACACAGTTCAATTGCTATGGAGCCGAAGTCTTTAACTACACAAATGGGCTCCATGGCATAGCTATCTGGGTTAACACATTCTCATAAAGTCTGGTCCATAGTCCAAAGGCAAGAGGCGGGCAAGCAGCCCCCTCCAAGGACACGTGGCGAGGCCGGTTTCGCCACAGTCACAATGAAATCTGGAAGACATTTCGGCAGTTCACAGAAGAAGGAGCGACAATGTAATAGCCGACGATCTAAGCAGAGGGAAGTGGGATCAAAAAGAATGGTCTTTGAACCCAGAAATTTTCAGAATCCTGACAGAAAGATTTGGAGTTCCGGAAGAAGACTTGATGGCAAGACCTTCAAACACAAAGGTTTACAACTTCGCCTCCCTATTCAGAACAGATCAACCCAAATGGATAGACGCTCTATCAATAGAGTGGAACTTACGTGTTTCCACCTCTGCCATTAATCCCAAAGGTCCTTCTCAAGATACGAACAGACAGAGCGAGAGTATTGGCAATAATCCCATATTGGCCAGTCTGGTTTTCGGCTGTAAAGAAGATGGCCATCGATCATTGGGAGCTTCATATATCAAACTTCCTCATTGTGAACAGGGACCTGCCCTTGAAAGGTTCTAGAAATATTCAGGTTCACTGCTTGGCTACTGCAAGGCTAATCCTCCGTAACCAAGGTTTACAAGAAGACCGAATAGCTGTCTGTCTTCACGCTACTAGGAAGTCTACGTCTAAGATTTACTTTAGGATTTGATCTAAGTTTCTCCACTGGTGTAAGGAACACCAGTGCCTGGTTTTACATCCATCCATAGATAACATTCTCCATTTTTTTACAAGACGGTTTTGCAGGTGGTCTGGGAGTCTCCACGCTCAAAGTTCCAATATCAACCTTAAGTTTTTTTTTCTAATTAAGGATTTGGCCTCCAATGTTTACCTCGGAAGATTTTTCAGGTCCATCAGCCTCACGACCACCTAGACGATCGGTGTTTCCAACCTGGGATTTAGCCCTGGTCCTACAAGCTCTTAGTGTTCATCCCTTTGAACCTTTGGAAGAAGTTCCATTAAAATGTCTCTTAAAGTTTCATTTCTGGTAGCCATCACATTGGCTAAAAGAGTGGGAGAACGTCACACTCTGTCCTCCTCCGATTAATTCACCATTTTTCACAAAGACAAGGTTGTTCTTTATCCAAGACAGTCTTTTCTACCTAAAGTTTGATCTTCAAAGAATATTTATCAGCCGATTGTTTTACCTTTGTTTTGTAGCGAAGCCTTATCTCCTCAAGAGCTCAAATGGCAGAAATTGGACGTCAGAAGAGCTTTACTTGTATACCTAGCCAGAACTAAATTCAGAATTTCGGATCATCTGTTTATTAATTTTTTTTCAGGGTCACCTCAAGGGGAATGTGGCTTCCCGCGGTACTTTATCTCGTTGGCTCATTCAAGCTATAGAATTGGCGTACTCTACAGCAGGTCTTCAGTCTCCAGCTACACTTAAGGCCCATTCCACCCGAGCAATGGCTACCTCATGGGCAGAAAAAGCACTTGCATCTCCAGAGGTCATCTGCAAGGCAGCATGCTGGTCGTCTTTTAACACTTTTTTTTATCAAGCACTATCGGCTAGACTCATTCTTCGCCTCTGAAGCCGCTTTTGGGCGTAAGGTGTTACAAGCTGTGGTGGCCCAGATGGGATCTTGCTATATCTCAGTAGTACTGCCACCATCTGACAGAAAAAAATGAAATTTTTACTTACCGTAAATTCTTTTTTTCTTAATATGGTAGCAGTACGGCTTCCCTCCCTCTTTATTAAGTATTTTTGCAGTAGTCTGTTTCTTTTTCTTGTCCCGTACTGGGGTCGGTTTTGCGGTATGGCATTTTATGGGGCAAGGGGGAGGATCTTTTAGATCATTAATTACTTGTTAGATGTCTTGTCCACAGGGAGGAGCAAAACCCAGTAGTACTGCCACCATATTAAGAAAAAAAGAATTTACGGTAAGTAAAAATTTCTGTTTTCCATGCACTGCTTCTTTGGGCCTCTGCTTTCCAGTTGAGGCTCACAAATTACACTGTCCACTATTAGTTTCTTTGACACTCTGCAGCTTGTAATATAAGTATTTACACAGTAAACCAAGATTTTTTTTTTTTTTAATAGTCATTGGTTTAAAGTATACCTATCATAGTACACACACTTTATTTAAATTGAGAGGTTGATCTATCCATTGTGCTAGCACACTTGTTGGCAAATGTATAGATTTTCTTAAGGCCATATGAAGGTGATTGACTGGGAGAAAGGAGGGGAACGTTCCAGGGGTCTACGTGCCCTGTTGTTGGTGTGCTGATTTATCAAGCACATGCATATGTCAGTCCATTCTGACATTAATGCTCTGGTAATAAAACAATCATTATTTATTTGAAAAATTGGTATATAACTTAAAAGGACATTGTAGGCACTATAACCATTGAATCTTATTGAATTGGTTTTGGTGCCAGAGTCTCCTGGTACGGTCACTGCTTTTAGTGTTAAACCATTTTTGAGCAGATTTGCACTGACTGAGTGTCCCATAGCTCGGCAACCCACTGGAGGCGTGTTAAAGGAAGAGACTACACACTTCATTCCTGAGATGTGCTGAAAGTGGTCATCTACTAATCACAGTTGAGCAGCACATGGGAGATGAGCTGCTGGAAATTGGTGTAGCATTTAAAATGGTTTAACACTAAATGGAAGGATAGCGCCAGTTGAATCCACTTCAGCACTTAATTGAGATGAAGCAGTTACAGTGCCTACAGTGTCCCTTTAAGAAGTTGCAAATTAAAGTGAATTATCATGATGTGTACTTTGTAAGATCAACCATAATTTAGTAAAGAGTGGCTGGTAGCACATGAGACTTGACTCTTTTTATAAAGTAGAATTAATGGGACAAACCCTTTTGAAATGTATAGAAAAATAATTGTGTGGGGAACAACGTGAAACTAGTTTGTGTAAACTGCTAATTTGATGCTTTGAAAGCATTCTTGTTAACACTTTAAAATTTAACTACTTTTCCCTTTCTTATTTAAATAGGCTTATACAGCATATGAGCATTTTGAATCACGACAGGTTCATAATCAGGTTCCTCAAACTTTCAAGCATAAAGAGACATTGCTTTCAGTCAACGAATACTCAGACTTGTCAAGAAGGACCCCAAAGAAACAGCTGATGAGTGAAAAAGTAAATACATTGAAATTGTGCTTTCTCTACCTCCCGGTACACCATAGGAACCTTTATTTTGTTAGTCTATCACAGTTCCAAGCTAATGGAATTTTAGGTGCTATTGGAACATCTTAAATTACATTTTAATCCCTATGTAATCTCCATATGTGCAGAAATGTTTGCACATAGTATTATGTCTCTTGGTGAAAATGACACACTAAAAGTAGACATCCAGGTTTATAATGATTTAATATTTTGGTAGCTTCTATTGTGTGGTTGACCAAGTGTTCATGTTTTGCTATACTTATTGCAGTGCATGAAATTGTTACAGCAAACCGAAGCAGGTACTCCTCCTAAACGGGTGATTGATGTTGATGTAATTGGTTATTCAAACTCCAGTGATCTTCTGAACACAGCCTTGATAGAGGTGATGGCTTAAAATCCTTCCATCCTCTGATTTTTATATTTTAAATAAAAATTTCTTTGTGGCTTCCAAGACAAATAACCAAAAAGATTTTGTTCATGTTGAAGGAAACCAAAGACAACACTGAAGACTCTGTGGAGACGTCTAAAAAGTCAAGGCAATTGAAAATAACAAAGTTTGTTACTCCCATTAAAAAACAGGGAAGATATCTTCTATAGCACACTTGGTGGTGATGTCTTTAATCTCAAACTCACTGGGCTTAGTGGTCTCTCCTTTTGTTATTGTAAGTGGTTTTTCTGTTTTTAAGTTGTATCTTTATTTTTTCTCTTATGTGTAGGTTGTAGAAAAAACATTTGAAGAGAAAATAACCGAAAAGGATATCCTTAAGGAAATGTTCCCACATGAAGTTTTAACTCCAACAGGAATCAGGTATTTTCTTAACATTGTACTCTATCTGTTGACTTTATTTTTTTATTTAACTTGGTAACATATGGCATTGAACATTATCTTTACCAGAGTTCTAGGATTTTACTACCATTTAAGTAATGTTGTGTAGCATTATTGCAATATTTGGAATTAAGTTAGTCCCACAGCTATAGGGGACAAAATACATAATACATGTGCAAATAGTAATGCTGGTATTCTGCAAAGCCCATCAGTTGTTTTGTACCTTAGACTTACAACTTAAGTCATAATGCAATGATCAAGTTCGCTGAAAGCTTCACTCTAGGGTCAATTCATAATTTTGAGTCTTAATCATAAATCTATGCAAATAAAGTGTGTGCACAGAACATACTGGGTTTAAAACCTTTCATTTTTTAGAAATGAACAGATGTAATATAAGCATAGCAAATAATAAAAATTAACAGGAGACGCCAGACACTATATAACCACTTCATTGAGTGGTTACAGTGCCTAAAGTAGGCCAATTTAAGTATTCCAGATGCTGTGGACTAAATCTCCTATATTTGTGTTGACTGCATTGTGGCTGTAAAATTATTATAGGAGATCTAGTCCACGTGTGGAGTTCTGAAGGTTGCCTATCCCTGTCCCATTTTTATGCATAATACAAATGTAAAAACACATTTAAAATATACTACCCAGGCATATTGCAAGGATCCTGTCCCTGCAGTTAATTGTTTGGCATATCTGTCAAACTGGCAGACTGATTTAAAGCAGAGCTGATAGCTTAGCCCCCAAGCCCTGTTGGGAAAAGAGTTGGTAATGACACTGCACATCTTGCGTACCAGCTCATATTAATGCGTTAGTATGATAGACTGGCTAGGAAAGGACTTGCATGCAAAACTTCCCTGGAGTTGGCTCTTGCAAGACCAAAGCCTGCCCCTTACTGATGCTTCCACCAATCAGTGGGACGAGTGCATGCAAGTCCTTTTACAACAGCATTATTTTTGTGTTAAGCTTGGAGGTGGCATTTCTTGCTCTTTAAGTCTTTAAAGCAGATCCTTAAAGTTATGTTCTGCCCATTAGACAAATAGACTCTCTTGCTAAAATAAACATATATTTGGAGCTAGTTTTAATTCTGTTTTAGTATCTAAATGCATGCATTTCTTAAGACTTGTTAAATGCAGAACTCTAATGCATCTATATAATTTTGTTACAGTGCCAGTTGTAGGAGACCAATTAGAGGAGCTGCTGGCCGACCTTTAAGTCTAAAAGATTATAAAATTGACGAAAGTTATACAAAATATGTTTCGTCTAAGTACACACCAGTTGTGGAAGTGAAGACTCCATCTGTAAATGTGAAGAGCAGAAGAAGCATACCTATGTGGATAAAGATTTTGCTGTTTGTTATTGTGGCTGTGTTTGCATTTTTAGTTTATCAAGCAATGGAAACAAATGAAGGGAATCCCTTTTCCAATATTCTAAAAAAACAACTTGAATCAAGTAAAACTGAGAACTGACTTGGTGCATTTACAGTTGAATATTTTTAGCAAGTCTAGAATTACAAAAAAAACTGCCATGTGTCTCAAAGTTTAGAAATTATGTGACCGCACTTCATAAAATCGTCTGTATATGAATAAAGATGGTACATATGGACATCTGAAATTCATTTTTGACTTTGAACAGCTAGAAGAGGACTGTGCCATAATACATTATTTTTATTAGATAATTCTGGAACATTTTGTAGCTTTTGTTGTATTTCTATCATGGACCCTTCAGTTAATTATGGAGACCTTCTTTTTCAAAGAAAATATGAAAAGAACTGTAACTCAATGTGAAGCCTTTGTTTCCTTAATGTTTTTAAAGTAACAATTTCACTCATGCTATTTTGACATTTGTGTGGGAGGGGTGGGCATTGGGTTAGTATAAGACTGGTAAATGGGACATATTTTGATATAGCTGTGCAGCATAGATTGACATATTAATGCTTTTTTTTAAAGAATCTACAATATCTTTAGAAGATGGTAACCTTTTAGTACATTATGTAATGTATTTATCTGTCGCAGATTCCTGCAACAATGCTTTTACTGTGTGTCATTTGGACTTCACTGATTTCTAAAAGGCAGTGTTTCTGCTTTTGTATCATGTAGCACAGGCCCAAATCTTGAGCTTGAAACCTTTTGTTCCATTCAAACTACTGTGTGAAAATAAAAAATGCAAATGTATTCCCAAATATTTTGGACATTTTTATCAGATCTGAAAAATTCAGAATGAAAATTAGCACTATTTTTTTGTATTTTCCAGTACTGAAGATTGGTGATTAATACTTTTATTGGTGTGCAAACAGTTTTGTAATGTGTTGCAGGAATCTAACTTTCATGCTGGGTTTCAATGTCTTTATTTTAAAGATGTGGGTTTATTTCTCATCTTCTAAGTGATAAATCATTTTAGATAGCAACTGAATGTCTCTTCATGTGTGATAGTCTTTCCAAGACAAAATGATGCATAAACTGCATTATAAATTGATTTCAGAAACTCTGGCTTTTGTATTTAAAAAGAAAATCCTCTGCTTTTGAGGGATTACCATTACACCTTGTAGGATAAGAAATGTAAAGGACAATGGTCACCTTCTATCTATTTATAATCCTTTCAAGTTTTTTTTTTTTTTTTTTATGAAGTAAAAGTAAAAAAAAAATAAAAAAAAAATTCCTATCTTTAGTGACTGTATCCCTTAACCATATACATAACCTTTCAATGTTTGAAAACAGGCAGTGTCCGGTGCTTTTGAGGAGTGAGTGAAGCAGGGAATACCACAGACCGTTTTCAAGCACCATGTGACCCAATCTGTATATTATATAAAATTATATTCTATATTCTCTCAAGGAACCTGCCATACTAAAGGGTAGGGATGATTTTTTTTTTTTTCCCTTTATTGAGCAGGGATTAACCGAAGGGCAGGCTATTGGGTTTTTCTGAGCTTTTGCCCATTTTCATATTCTATTTTTGGTATTCACCTGTTTATCGTTTTGGTAATAATAGCGATACAATTGTGGACAATTAGGGTATTACGGATACCAATTAATTAAAATGCTGTATGTACAGTTCCAATGCTTCCCCCGCTACCTTGACATACCAGTTGTGCAGGTTTTCTCAGTATCCCCCATAGATGTAGAACTAGGATATGTGTAAATCATTAATCTCGCTTATAGTGCTTTAAGGCCTGGACTTGGCGCTATTAATTTACAGCACAATGTTTAGTAACCGCATATTACCCAGTAGTAGCAATAAGAAAAGACCAGCTAATCCTAACTGTCCATTCTAAATCTCTGCTAAGATCGCAGAATCTTGAGTATCAAGAGTGTAACCCAGGCTCCTATATTCTGTAAACATTTTAATTATTATGGTTTGTAAGTACTAAGACGGGAAAGGCTTAAGGAAATTTTGGAGGCAGTGTTGTGGCATGGTTCAAATGTGGTTTTAAAACTATTTCCACTGTTAAATGTGAAAGGGGTTAATCTTTTTCGTTTTGCCTCTGTAGTTTCTACCTGTACTAGATTGCAATGGTTCTTTTTAAACTTGTTTTTTTTTTTTATTGAACGGTATTTTAAACATTTCATATTAATTTGGTATATAAAGAAATCAACATTTAACAATAGAAACTAGTAGAAATAAGAAGGGAAGGTGAAATTAAAAAAAAGAGGGGACCGTTACTATCCAAATGTACAATAATAAAAGTGTATTTGTTCCTGTCAAAATATAATACAGAGCGTAATATAACCAATTGTATGTCTAAATATTGTATATCCACATGTAACAGGGCGTGTGGAATTGTCTTTAGGAGAAACGCTTTTACTTATATAACACTTCCAGCCATCCCAATGAAACTGCAAAGTCACTTTTTGAGGTGAGGGTTGCTGCAACGCTAGTTCATACTTTTTTTATCAAGCACTAAAATCATTGCTTCCTTAATTGATGGTAAAGTAGTAGACTTCCAATAACAAGATATAATCGTCGTGGCCTACCATGATTCCATCTAATTTACTTGATGACTTGGAGATTTTTTAATAAACTCACCTCCTGGAAAGAATGTTATAATTGGCGGATCTGTCTTTTTAATCAGTGGATGTATTCCCTGCCAGAACGGCTGCAATTTTTTACACTGACACCATTTATGTGAGAGTACCAACGCCTCCACAACCCCCCTCCAACATATATCTGAATATTTTATGTTCATTTTATGAAGACTTGAAGGGGCCAAGTGCCACTGGTATATACATTTTGTAGTGAATCTCTATATGGTTAGAACACTGGATCCCTTTGAGAGATGGGATAGATTGCAGTAGTTCTAATATTTTGGCATATGTTTGCACAAATCCCACCACCAGAGCTAAACCTATTGTAGAGGTACTGTGCTGTATGGAAAAACCAGTCACAACTTTATTTTGCGGTTACCACTGCCAATAGTTTTAAGAAGAAGAAGAAAAAAAAAAAAAAAACTATTGAAATTTAATGTCCTATTGTTTAGCCAACAAAGATGTGCAAACAGTGGGCTGTAGATCTCGTCTGAAAACTTTGCAAGCCTTACCCTTCAAACCCAGCCAAGACTTTTTGAACTCTTTGCAAGGCTGGTGCACTGGGAAGTGCCTGCCTCTTAAGTTTAGCTACAGTGAGCTAATGATAGTTCTTCCTTTTGTAAAATTAAAGCAGTCAGTCCACACACAAAGTACTTCAGAAAGCTTTTCAAAGTAACACTATTGTGTTGGGAATACAAAGCTGTATTCCTAACACTATAGGGTACCCCTCCCCCTGGGTAAATCAGCAGGAAGTGCCTCTAGAGGCTGTCTAACCATGAAATGTTTACATAAACAGGTTAAAATAGACCCTTTAGGCACTATAACGAACTCCATCTAAATGAAGTTGTCACTGGCGTACATATAGGGTCGCAGCTGCGAACGGGTGCCCACCATCATTTGCGGCCCCGGCCGACAGCAAACCACCTGGGCCGCATGTTAAGGTGCCCATTGGGTGGCCTATGCTGTTAGGGCCACCCGATGGTTACAGATTTTCAGGGGGCCCGGTCAGCGCTGTGGCAATTTAACAGCTCGACCGGGCCCCCTGTGATGAGATCATCACACGCTGAGAGGAAGTGACTGCCCGTCACGCCTTCCAGCTATCACTGAGAGCCCGTGCGGGAGGAAGGACAGGGAGTCAGAGTGGGAAATCACTCCCATCAACCTGAGCCACCACTGGACCTCAGGGAAAGTCACTCTTCTCCATTTAAAAGGTAGGAAACAGGAGGGTGACTTAAATGTGTTTGTGTCTTGTCTGTCGGGGGGGGGGGGGCAGGTTGTGTACGCCACTGGCAGTTATTGTACCAGGAGGCCTCTGGGCGCACTCTTACCTTCAGAGGTCAAACCTCAAACATTTTAACCCCATCGTTGCCTCCTGCATGGATCTTAACTCTCAGTTTCAGAAAGTGTGGAGTGCAGTGTTCGACTAAAACTAAATTGAAATTTGCTGCCTGTCTTTTGACTAAAAACGCTGTTAGTCAACTGAATTGCCTAAATCTCCAGTAGTTGACACAACTAAAATCTAAATGGTTTAGTTAAAACCACTATCTGCCTTCTTTGCACCTTCCCTACACCTTTGGTGGCTCTTTGTCCCCCTCCCAGCCCCTCTATGTGTTTGTCTCTTTTTCGCTCTCCATAGCCCCATTTGTGGTTCTCTTCCCCCAGCACAATGTTTAATTTTCCCCAGCCTCTTCATGCATCTCACCTCTGTTAATTTTGGCAGCAATTGTCAATTTAGGTTTACTCAGTCTCTTGATTAAAAAACCTTTTAAGTCGTCTAAATTGTTTTAGTCGACAAAAGTAACACTGGTGGAGTGGTGCCAGGCAGGGCCAGCCGCTGATCTGTGATTTTCTATTCATAAAACTAGCTAGGAAAAAAAAAAAAATACAGTCTCCAAGCGATTTTACAAATGGGGAGTCGCTGATTTGCTGAGAATGTCAGGTGACTGCTCTCAACCAATCAGCAGTGGCCCTGCCCGATGGCTCTCCTAACTTCCTAAAATTGAGTTTTCAGAAGCCAAATGCAACCTATGGGGAGTAGTTGCGATCGGCGCTGGAGTCAACCTTGAGGTTAAACCGTCCAAGAATGGTTTAACCCCTAAAGGTAAGAGTGTGCCTGGGGTCATCACCAGACCAATTACAGCTTATTGTATTTGTTCTTGTAAGTATAATAACACCCTTCAGGCTTTTTGTAGTAAACACTGTCTTTTCAGAGAAAATACCATGTTTACATTACAACCTAGGGATACCTCCACTGGGCACTCCTCAGATAGCTACTAGAGGTGCTTCGTGGGGCAGTGCTGCCATTCTGCCTCCTTGACAGTCTTAGCCAAACCAATGCTGGGAATATGGGAAAGCATTGATTGGTGCAAATGGAAATGGTGGTGAGAGCACTCAGTAAATATAAATAAAAGTCTTTACCAATATTATCATGGACATGTACCTATAAAACATAGAGCATAAAAGACCATAGGGTAATATAGTTTTCACATATATTTAAAACCACAAATAAATGGTCAAACTCGCATGGTTCTGAGTCACTTAAAAAGCTGACAGACTACAGGTATGAAGCGGAGATAGATCTTCATTGTAATGGACTTCTGCAATGGTCAGGATAAATCCTGTTCGTTTTAGTAGTCAATCCCAAAAATCCAGGATGCAGGATCAGGTTAAATATTTATTGAAACATAAAATAAAAACGAATTGCAGATAAAAGTAGTCCATAAAACTTGCCACTCGACGCATTTCGTCCAGAATCCTTCTTCAGAAGTGGTGCTTTCATCTATCTCTGCTGGTTCTGTTTTTAACCGCTGGAGGACCAAACTTTTGAAATAAAAGGGAATCATGACATGTCACACATGTCATGTGTCCTTAAAGGGTTAAACAGAACATTTGGTGCCTTTCCCGATGACTTCTAATGATGTCAGCCAAGCAGGCAGATCGGGGCTGAGCTAGCACCAGCAGACATGAGTAAAGGTAAGATATTTTTACGGGGGCTAGATGGTGTTTTTAATACTATAGGGTCTGGAATACATGATTGTGTTCCTGACTATATGTGTTCCTTTAATTTTCACAAAGTTGTTATGGTCTTGGAGTGTTTCTATAAGGGGACAGGGACACTGCACCCAGATCACTTCAATGATATAAATCATTCAGGGTGCCTACATTGTCCCTTTAAATTTACTATATAATTCTCGGCAGCTCTTATGATTACATTTATAGGTACTTGTATTGTATGTTGGTCTTGGCATAAGACAAGTGTTTTAGTTTGCACACACTATTGCTTTTGATAATTTTCTGAAATTTATATCATGAGTCAGTCCACATTTTTTTTCATGCTTTTATTGATTTTTCCAATGGAAAAAAATATAAATCGTGAATTATCCTTCATTTCTAGTACTATTTCCTAGGTTGTAAGCTCCTGTGTGCAGATAAAGTGTTAGTGTGCTGTTTGATCTGCAACAGACATTTCAATTACTGTACCCTTCTGAAAAATGTCTCCTGCATTTTCTACACCCTTGTATATTGCTGTGGAATATACTGACTCTTTAGTAATAAAATCATTATACATTTACCCTGTGTAATGCATAAGCTAGTGATTATTCTCTGTGAAAAAGACTGTATTTTCTTGTCCCAGTTAATTTCCCTGCATTCGGTAGATGGATCTACTGAACACCAACCACCCCCCTGGCTCATTCAACTTTAAAGAAAAACACAAACTTAAGTGCTCTCTCTGTGTGGCCACCGTTCGTGTAACCCAGAGATGGCGAACCTGTGGCACGCCGGGCCCTCTCTGTGGGCACGCGGCCATAGGTTTGCCATCAATGCAGAGTAGGCACCTGTCCAAAACGGCAGGCGCCTACTCTGCTTCCATGTCGGGAGGCAGGGGGAGGGCTCTAGGAAGCAGCTCTCCTGTCCTCCCCCACACACACAGTACCCCTACCCCCCCCACACACACACAGCGCCCCTACCCCCCACACACACACAGCGCCCACACACACAGCCTACCCCCACACACAGCTCTACCCCCACACACAGTGCCCCTACCCCACACACACAGCACCCCTACCCCTCGCCTGCACCTCTACTCCCACCACACACCTCACTTACCTCCCCCCAGCCTCTACCACTCACACATGAAGCACAGCACCCTACCCCACACACAGCCCCTACTCCCCCAACACACACAAACAGCACCCTACCCCAACACACACACACACACACACAGTACTCCCTACCCCCAACACACACACACAGCACCCTACCCCACACAGCACCTCTTACCCCGCCCCAGCACCCCCTATCCTCCACACACTCACAGCACCCCTACCCCACATACACACACACAGCCCCTACCCCCACACACACACAGCCTACCCCCCCACACACAGCTCACTCCCACACACACAGTGCCCCTACCCCCACACACACACAGCACCCTCACCCCCAACACACACACACACATAGTACCCTACTCCCCGCCTCAGTACCTCTAACACCACACACCAACACTCCTACCCCCGCCTCTACCACATGAAGCACAGCACCCCTACTCCCCACACACACAGCCTCCCACCCCCACACACACAGCCCTCACCCCAACACACACACACACAGTACCTACCCCCAACACACACACACACACACACATAAATTCCCATCCCCCAGCACACACACACACACAGCACCCCTACTCCTGTTGTGCACCCTCACCTCAGCCCCAGCACCCCTATCCTCCACGCAACACACAGTACCCCTACCCCCACACAGTCCCCCTATCCCCCACACAGCACAGCACCCCTACCCCACATGCAGCATAGCACCCCTACCTCCCCACACAGCACAGCACCTCTACCCTCACCACACACACAGCACCCCTGCCACCCACAGAACAGCACCCCTACCCCCCC